CAACCTCCTTATCAGTCACTGAGTCACTGAGTATTATAATTACTTGGAAAATAGTGGCTTTGGCAAGATAAAAAATTTTTTTTTAACCCCCTGAGACAGGGATAGCGCAGAGGTCATCAGGGCTTTCTGTATGTGGACTTTAAACTCATGGTTCAGAAATGCTGCAGAGACCTTGCCCTTATTTCTGCGTTCCAGATAGTATGATGGAGAGAGGGTAGAAGACCACTGAGACTATCTCACTATGTCTAGTCACCAGCACTTGACCATGTTGTCATACAGAGTTGTAAAGGCAGTTGTGGAGAATATAATTTTTTCATTCTGAAGCGGACTTCTCTGACGCTACATTTAGCCAGACTTCACATATCTGTGATTTTTTGGGGTCTTTTTTTTTTTTTTTGCCAGTACTAGCGGGATTATGTTCTGCTATGTGTGTCTTTTGATTGCCATGTAGTTTCCTTTCATTCTTGCCTTTGACTTTTCTTTACCGTATAGTTTCTCTTGATTCTTGCATTTGTCTTATAATAGGTCTTCATTCATGGTCTTGAAGTTATTTGGTAGCATGCATATATGGGTGTTCTTTGAACTTTATTAGCACTGTTAGCTGCTTCGCTGGTTCTGTATTTTTCCATTTATATTGTAGCAAGTGAGAATTTGATTCTCACCCCCTCTTCTTGCTGGGCCGTGCTATAACTGTTTATCAGTGTAAGGTTGGACAAACTGCTATTTTATTTTAACTTTGTTTTGTTTTGGGGCCTCACTTGGCCATACTCAGGGCTTACTGAGTATCTGCTCTGCACTCAGGGGTCATTCCTGGTGGTGCTCAGAGGATCATATGGGGTCCTGGGATTTGAACTCAGGTCAGGTATAAGGGCCTTACCTACTGTACTATCTCTCTAGCCCTGAAACTGCTTGTTTAATCTGCACTGGCTTGTCTTGTCAGCCTTTTTGTCTGAATGGGTGTCCAGGCAGAGCTTTGTAATGTGTCAGCACTTATTGTCTGAACACTGGGAACTTCCATCAGAGAAATCTCAAGGGAGGATGCTCTGCCTATTAACAGGAACCAGTTTTAGGTGGTTTCTGTCAGCTAAGAAGTTCCAGGTCGACAGTGCTGGTGTGGATGTGGGGAAAAAGGGACACTCTTTCACTGTTGGTGGGAATGCCCACTAGTCAGCCTTTCTGGAAAACAATATGGACAGTCCTTCAAAAACTAGAAATTGAGCTTCCATGTGATCCTGCAATACCACTTCTGGGAATATATCCCGAGGATGCAAAAAAGCACAGTAGAAATGACATCTGTACCTATATGTTCATTGCAACACTGTTCACAATAGCCAAAATATGGAAACAACCCAAGTGCCCTAGAACAGATGACTGGTTAAAGAAACTTTGGTACATCTACACAATGGAATACTATGCAGCTGTCAGGAGAGATGAAGTCATGAACTTTGCTTATAAATGGATAGACATGGAGAGTATAATGCTAAGTGAAATGAGTAAGAAAGAGAGGGACAGACATAGAAGGACTGCACTCATTTGTGGAGATTAAAACATCATGACATGAGGCTGACACCTAAGGATAGTAGATACACGGGACAGATAGATTGCTCCATAGCTGGAAGCCTGCCTCATGAGCAAAGGGGAGAAGGCAGCTGGAATAGAGAAGGGATCACTAAGAAAAAGATGTCTGGATGAATCGGTTGGGATGGGAGATGTGTGCAGAAAGTGGATAATGGACCAAGCATGATAACCTCTCACTCAGGGTCTGTATCGCAAACCATAATGCCCCAAAATAGAGAGGGATTATGGGGAACCATGTCTGCCATGGAGGCAGGGGGAGGGCTGGAAAGGGGGGTTATACCGGGGATATTGGTGGTGGGGAATGTGCACTGGTGGGGGGGATGGGTGTTTGATCATTGTGTGATTGTAACCTAAACATGAAAACTTGTAACTGTCTCACAGTGATTCAATAAAATTTACTGTCACTATCACTGTCACTGTCCTCCCGTTGTTGAACGATTTGCTCGAGCGGGCCTAGTAACGTCTCCGTTTTGAGACTTGTTGTTACTGTGTTTGGCATATTGAATACATCACGGGTAGCTTGCCAGGCTTTGCCGTGTGGGCGAGATACTCTTGGTAGCTTGCCAGGCTCTCCGAGAGGGGTGGAGGTATCGAACCCGGCTTGGTCAGGCTGGCTGTGCGCAAGGCAAATGCCCCACCGCTGTGCTATTGCTCCAGTCCCAATAAAATTAAAAAAAAAAAAAAAAGAAGTTCCAGGTTGAGAGGAGGGCCCCAAGCAGCCCTAGAGTGCTGGCATGATGTCTTTTGATGTTCTTGAGGTCACTTTCACTAGGAATTTCTCCGGTCCCTCTCTGTTCCCTTTCACCTAGCTAATGCCTAATCTTGGACGGCTCTCTGCAGGAAGTTTTCCTTATCGAAATTCTTACTTGTTAATCCTGTATTGTGTCCCTAAAGTCCTTTGTACATCCTGATTACTATGCTTGACACAATGTTGCCATCGTCCACCACTGTACATGTAGTTTTTACTGCTCTCTGCCAGTCTGGAAGCTCTTTAGTCTCACTTCTCTTCGTGTTCTTGCTGCTTCATTCGTTTGTTCTCGGGCTATACCTGGCATTGCGCTGAGCTTCCTCCTGGGTGTGCACTCAGGGGTCACTTTACTCCTGGCAGTGCTCTGCCTGGGCCATATGGATGCTGAGGATTATGCCTGGGTCAGCCATGTGCAAGGCAAGTGCCCTCCCCGCCAGGCAGTCCTGCCAGCCCTCTGTGTGTACTTACTTTTAGCCTAGCAGTGCCGGCCTTAGTAATGATGTTTAGCAAATAGTGTTTATTTCCTTTTGGTTTTGGATGGAAATAAAAATAACAACTTCAGTTACACAGTGTAAAATGAAGGAATAAATGCTTGATGGTAACTGGAGTATTTCAGTGGCAAAGTAGAAGAATTTTTATTTGTTTTGGAGGTGATACGTGGCAGTGGTTGGGGGCTACTCCAAGCTCGGTGCTCCTGGGGCTGTGTGATGCTGGGCATGGAACCCTGGCCCCCTGCCTGAAAAGCATGCACTCTAGCCCATTGGCATCTCAGGGGCCATTCCTGACTCTGTGCTTAGGGGTTGTCCTCTGCTCAGGGGTTGGTCCTGGGAGTGCTTGGGGGACTATGCAGTAGTGAGGATTGAACCAGCTTGCAAAGCACACACTTAGCTCATTGACCCTCGAAGAGCATCATCATCATTGTTATTAATAATAATTGTTTTATTGGGGGGGTGAATACACCTAGTTGTGCTCATGACTTGCCCTTGTCTGTATGTTCAGGGGTCACTCCTGGCAGTGCTCTGGGACCAAATAAGATGCTAGGGACTAAAAGCAGGGCCTGCCACATGTAAGGCAACCACCTTAACCCCCATACTGTCTCTCTGCCCCCTACCCTTTAAAAAATACTTGCTATACTGGGTGATGGGTTGAATTGAGGTCGACCATGTGCGAGGCAAGTGTGTTAACCCCTGCACTGTAGAGGTAATACCTGCATTGAACCCAAATCTACAAAATATGACAGGTTAGGTTTGTGTTTGGTTATTTTTGCTAGATGGCTTTTTAAACCCTGAGGGTATTTTTGCTAGAGAGATTTTCAAATCTTTGTGATTGAATTTCACAAAGAGATCATTTGCTGAAGCTTAATGCTACCTTAAAAAATATTTTAGAACCAGGTAAGGACAACGATTCATTTTTAAGTCACTGATTAAACTCTTACCTGTTCCATCCGGGAAAGCTGGAGATTGTGTGGCAGTTTGTGTAAATGCTCTTGGGATGATGTCCGCATGGTCACAACCGAGAACACTGTAGGAGACATTGAGAGGCCATGTTTGCCGGTGTCGGCTCTAGGTACAAATGTTTCTTTCCATATTGTCACACTTGTTCTCCCACACTCTGTTTGAAGCAGCTCTACAACATGACAGGGAACAAAAATTCTCCCTGTTTTGTAAACAAAACTTCATTTTATTTTATAAACATAAAATGTTTGATGTTTTGTATTGTTGTTGTTCTTTTTCTTCTTTTTTCTCCTCCCCCTCCTCTTCCTCCTTCTCCTCTCTTTCATCTCCTCCTCCCCTCCTTCACCTCGTCCTCCTCCACCTCCTTCTCCTCCTCCTCCTCCTCTTTCATCTCCTCCTTCTCCTCTTCCTCCTCCTCCTCCTCCCTCCTCCTCCACCTCCTCCTCCTCCTCCTCCTCCTCCTCCTCCTCCTTCTCCTCCTCCTCCTCCTCCTCCTCCTCCGTCATGTCCCTTGGGGATAGCACCCTTTCCAGCATTCTGAGGGAGTTGTTATGATTCACTGTGAATGTTTTCAGTGACAAACACTAGCAGAAGGAGACCCCAGTTCTGAGGTAGGTGGCATCCGGGGTTGGTGTCTGTCAGTCTAGAGGAGTGACTGAAGTCAAATGACAGGCATGGCCCAGCCCACTCAGCACTGAAGCCCGCAGGCCCAGCTTCTCCTTAAGTCCCCCTAGCCCTGCCTCTTGGTCTCAGCCCCATTACTTTGGCTAGATTGCTAGAAAATTCTGACCCTTCATTAAGTTTGTTTGGAAGTAGCCGACCCACACACGGACCTCCTCAGAGCGTCCCTCCCTCCCTGCCCGCTTCTTGTCACCCCAATGCTACCCTGGCTTCGTGTACTCCGAGAGTTGGTGTGACTCTGTAAGCCGTTGGTTTTTCTGTCACATCCATGGTTGCCGAGGAGATGACAAGGTCACACGGGTGTCACCGTGTTATAGAGCAGGATGAGAAATGGCACAGCCCGTGACGTATTGACAAAACCAGCTCTTCTGAGAAAGTGGTATGCTTTTATATCCTCTTGAGGACACTGAAATCAGTTATATCTTGAAATCCATACATTTTTGGGACTGTGACCATGGGCTCAATAATATTCTCTACCCTCTTGTTGAAGATTATTTTTTTTCTGCTTTATTTTCATGCTTACCATTGACATTTCGTAGGGAAAACAACAATAAACTGTAAGTAATCATATTTCAAATTGAGTGTGTTCTTATTCTTTTTCTGGAAGATCCATTTCTTTCCTGAAAGGCCTGTTTGAACAGATTTTAACTGATCTGTGACTTGCCTTTCCTGGCATCTGCTTTTTGTACTTTCACCAGATGAGGCAGCAATGAGGAGGCTGTCCTGAAGATGACTGCAGTTGGAATAATATTCTTTAGTTCTTTAGGAAAGTAGAGATGTCGATCTGTGAATGTCGATGCAGAGGCCACCGAGGGTAGAGACCCTTCTTTTAACTGAAAATCATGCACAAATCTGTCATGGTAAGCTGTGCATTATGCGTCCTGGGTTTGTAGTTAAAGTGTTTAGAAACATTTATAGTCATTTAATTGAAGGACAGTTTAAGAACAAAGCATTTTTAAAGTGATGGAGAGATTGTGTGGTGGGTAGGGTTCTTGCCTTGTGCACATTCAACCTGGGTTTGATCCCCAACACCACATGCAGTTCTTGAGCTCTGCCAGGAATAATCTCTGGACACAGAGTCAGGAGTGAGCCCTGAGCACCGCCAGGTGTGTCCCCTACAAAACAAACAAACCAAATCTCTCTTAGTAATTTTATTTTTTTCTAAATGTAGCATCCATCACGGCAGAGCCTGGCAAGCTCCCCGTGACGTACTCGATATGTCAAACACAGTAACAACAAGTCTCATGATGGAGACGTTACTGGGCCCGCTCGAGCAAATTGATGAACAACGGGAGGACTGTGACCGTGAGCATCCATACAGAGAAAATATGGAATAAAGAAAGTTATGAACAAGGAAGAATAAGGAAATTTGAAATCGTATAGGACGGCTGGAGATGTGGCTTAGTCATAGGGCATATGTCTTCCATATATGAGAGCCATTGGGTTTGATCCCAGCACCGCTCAATCAATCAATAAAATTTATTACCAGTTCTTTTATCATGAGCAGGGGAGGTTTGCTTATGCTTCTAAATATGTCATTATAATAAACTCTCTTTAGTATGAAGAGGCTATTTATGAGAACTTTATTACTAGAAAAATAGACTTTCGGGTCATAAGACTGTTACTCATTTTGAGGTAGGATGGTCAGAGAAAGGGAGTATTTGTAAGGGTTAAAGGTAGAACAAGAGAACAAGATCATCATAAGACTAGTTAGAAGAAATTACACGTTGATAGTTTTCAGGATGAGTTTTATATTCCCAATAATAGTACGTGTACATTTGGGAAGGAGTGGAAAACAGATGTTTAGTAATTGGAGGAAACACATTTCTCACCTTAGGAAGAGTTGCTCTCTGAAGACAAAGTCGAGGGGTCATTCATGACACTAGGGATGCTGACTCTTTAAAAGTAATATTGTGGGATCGAAGAGATAGCATAGGGGTTAAGGCATTGCCTTGAATGCAGCCAACCATTATTCTATACCTGGCACCAGGTATATTTCCCTGCACACCACCAGGAGGGATCCCTGAGGAGAGCCAGAAATATGCCCTGAGCACCTTTGTTGTGCCCTTCCCCCAGTAGAAATAAATAAAAGTGACTCTTGTTCTCCGCTGGTTAAGAGGTTAGTGGGCTGAGAGACACGCCCATGTCTTTAAACAAATTAGGGCCTATTTCTACTTCCCGTAAAAAGACCGGAGTTGCAGGAATAGCAGCCCCCTGTTATTTGTGTCTCACTCATCTCTTGGTAAGATAGCAATGACCCCACTGTTATTTGTGTCTTTGTCATCTCTTGGTTCCATTTCGTGGGTCCGGTATTCTCACAGTACCTCCAAATCCAAGTTCCTGGGACTATGGAAAGCTATGGTTGTATTCTGGAATAGTAAGGTAGAAAGGAAGAAAGGCAGAACAAGAAACCTGTCTTCGAGCCGTTTCCTGTTATGAATGCATCAACCAGTTAACCTCTCATTATTAGAAAGGTTAGTCATGTGACAGCTTCCGGTCCCACAGAAGGTTGACACATACAGTCTTTTACTCTTGGTGACATACATTCAGATGGTTATTTGGGGGAAAGTGGTAGTTGCAGCGTACCAGCAAGGTGATTACATAATTTCAGTATGTAAATGTGAACTTTTGGAGTGATTTCCAAAAGATGGAAATGAAGAACGAATTATGTCTTAATTCTAAGGAGGCCAGTGGCATTGCCATGTTAGTCATTTCATTTAAAGTAAACCCCAGAGTGTTAAAATAATAGTGACCTCTTGTAATTAAAAAATCCCCCTACAATTAAGTTATCGGATAATCAGCGAACAATCTTACCAGTAAATACTTGGAACTTTTTGAAAATTTAGGTAAGTTGAAGAATTTCACCCCACAAATTAATTTTCTTTTGTTTGTATGTTTGTTTTTTTGAGCATGCTCAGCTTATTCCTGGCTCTGCACTCAGGGATCACTCATGGCGAGACTCAGGGGCCCGTATAGGGTGCTGGAGATTGAACTCATGTCCAAGTACCCTGGTCTGCTGTACTACTGCTCCAGCCTCAATAAAATTTTATTGAGTTTGTTTTTTTCCCCCCAGTTGCTTTCATACTGAATTTTAATTTTGGATGTCCATGCATATAACCTTTGCTTTTAAGTCCTTCTCTACCACGGTCCTTTAGTTATAGAGTTCAATTTCTGGTGACCGTCTGCAGAGGCAGGAGCCTTTTGCAGAACCAGCCTTGTGTAGGAGTTTTTGGCTTGCTGAAGTAGTCATCTTTGGGAACCTTGGGTCACCATGGAAATTAGGGACCCGGTAACTCCACTTCCTTGACACAACATGACAACACAGACAACTGTGGTAGCAGAGATTTGTGCCATTATAAACTCCACAGATAAACCATAATAGTAAAGTAGAACTTTATAAAGTTAGGGCTATTTTGACTATGTACCAATTTAATGTGCTAAAAATATTCATTCCAGTTGAAGAAATCAATACTTGTGTTTGGTAGGCATGATTTTGTGAGTGGGCCGGAGATTTAGGAATCTGACCCTCCTGTGGGAATGAGAAGTTGCGAATCCCAATTTAAAAACTGTTGTTGATACTCTGAGATGAAGTTGCCTCTTAGTCTTCTCTTGTAATTCAGCCCCCAATTTTTTCACTATATAACAAACTTTCCCTTTTGTAAAGATTGCTTTCCTTTCTGGTATCAGGATTGTAGATGCTATCACCTGCTAGGAGTCGAACCAAAGAAAGCTTATAAAGTACATCATTAACATTTAACATTAGAGCAGGATTTAAAAGAAGGGAAATTAAACCATACCTGTTAATCACATTCTCTAAATGATGCAGTTGAATAGAAAGATGAAGTATCTGCTTTGTAGACCCATTTTATGACACTGCACTGCACCCCTTATTAAACCCTGCCTTACTTGAACTGACCTAGAATAAGCAGAAAGGAGGAAAAAAATTAGAACACTCGCTTGTGGATGTTAAAAGAAAGCATTTTGTTTTTTTTTTAAAGAGGAAGTAGTACGCGAGGGGAGAGGAGGAAAATCAATTCTGTGGAACAAACATTTGCTTGTACTCTCTAATTCTTATTTTAATCTTGTAGAGAATGTCTGAATGTATCCAGATCTCATTTGCTGTATGTAGAATTGGCATTCACACGGTAAGCAATGTATATTTTTGCAGTACCAAATGTCATGAAGTTATAAGTGGAAAACTCAGCACTGGAGAGCTAGTGAGCTATGGAAATTGTTCTGAACTGCTGATGGGAACATAGATTTATACAGCCACTTTGGAAAAAACAAAACAGTTTAAGGCCAGTATATTCTTTAGGTGAGCAAATGCACCCCTATATATACACCTTAGAGAAATTGTGTAATTGTAAAGAGATTTTTGCCTGGCAGATTCTCAGCAGAAGCACTCGTAAAAACAAAACAACAGAAAGAATGCAGAGGTCCTTCAGTAACATATTTGATTAGTACATTGTAGAAGTTTAATTAATTTCATAGAAAACAGTACAACATCTAAAATATGTGAACTAAAAATAATACATTTGAACTATGGCCATGCAATATACAAAGAGTCTGTCGCCGAAACATAATGGTGACTGAAGAAAACAAGTCACAGAAAATGCGCGCAGTCTCATTTCATGTCTAGAAAGGGCAACAACAGCCAAAGTGGTAGTATGTTATTTGCAGGTTACATATGTTGGTAGATAAACTATATGTAGAAAGCCTTACTTTGGACTGGTAGCTGCTCTTGGCGGCAGTTCTCAGCAGGGCATGATTTTATGCTCTGGGTGCGTGGCAGTGTCTGCAGACAGTTTTGCTTAATTGACCTGATGAGGAGGGCGATTTGCAGCCTGGGTGAGGCCAGGGCTGTTGCTCATTGTTGAGCGAAGCACTGACTAAGCAGCTAAACAGTAGTGCTGGAGGTTGAGAAACCGACTTCTGTAGAAAATGAGAGAAGTAGCACTTTTTCTTTTTCGGTTTTTTGTCATTTATTTTGAAACAATTATTATTATTATTATTAAGGTAAAGGCCCTCCCGTTGATCGTCGATTTGCTCGAGTGGGCCCAGTAACGTCTCCATTGGAGACTTTTGTTGTTACTGTGTCTGGCATATCGAATACTCTCGGTAGCTTGCCGGGCTCTCCGAGAGGGGCGGAGGAATCGAACTTGGGTCGGCCATGTTGGCCGCTTCTAAGGCGAACGCCCTACCGCTGTGCTATCGCTTATTTAGTTTTGGGGCCATCTCTGTTTGTGTTCAGGGCTTACTCCTGGCTCTGAACTCAGAAGTCACTCCTGTTGATGCTCAGGACACCTCTGGGATGCCGGGAATTGAATCTAGGTTGGTCATGTGCAAGGCAAGCACCTCACCCACTGTCCTATATCTTTCTGGCCCCCTGGCATGTATTTTTAATGCTGAGAGATCAGGGTCAAGGAGTTGGCTTTCATGGAAGAATATTCATTTGTGTGCACAAAAATTTAGAACACCAAGAATGCTACGGACTTGGGAGTCTAGGACCCAAACGCTGATTTTCAGTTCCTTGAGGGCAGAAACCTGGGCCTGTTTCAACCTTTGTGACTTAACCTGCACCATAGCTGGCGCTTTGCACTTACTCATCAACTGTAGCCTCAGTAACATCAGAGTAGAGCCCGCACAGTTCTGTTTATCTTCATCTGATTTTAAGAAAAGAATTTATTCCCTCTGTCACCTTTGCTTCTTGCTGCTTGTCTCAGCTGTGTATCGTAAAATATATATGTATGTAAGTCTCTCATACTTCCTCAGAATTCTGACTTTGTATCATTTCCAATCTCAAACATAAAACTAAATATAGTACTATTTGTCCCCAGTGAGACAGATAGGTTCTTGAGGAACTAGACATGTGATGCTACTCTGAATAGTTTTGAGGGGTCCTTTGAGAAGCAGATGCCAAATGGGGATGTCTGTTGTCTGCCAGTGGCGACTTGGGGGAAATGTTCATGAAAGATAAAGAGGGTGGGAACAGGATGGATCTAACGAAGAGAAGAAAAAAGGGGGGGGGGGTGAGGAATGGAGGGAAGCCGAACTCTGGACCGCACCATGGTTCAGAGAAAGGCATCTTGTTTGGGCTGATGCAGCCTGCCTGAGCAAAGTTGCCTGTTGGAAAAGTCCCAGGACCTCTGCGTGCCCAGGCGCAGGTTGGCATAGGCTTAGCACAAGTGTGGCCTCAGCATGAAGGCCGTGGTGAACCCAGTGATGAGGCAGTGCCAGCTGTCAGTCAGCTGTAACTTTGCACAGGTGATCGAAGGGTCACTCTCTCAAGGAGGCCAGACGGCTGGGCATTCACAGCTAGGAGTCCTGGGAGCCTGGAGGTTGGGAATTGTGAGCACTTCTTGGAATACGGAGCAACTAACTTGGGTCTGGAAGCTTGCAGGCATTCAGCCTGCATACAGGGAAGAAACTCTGGCTGTGGAGTAATTCTTAAGCAGATAAAGTTTCTCCTTCCGCAGGGTGTGCTGAGAGCTGACCTTCTCTCCCATTCGTGTGTGGGTGCTCTGAGGGCAGTGCGGTGGGGGCTTTGGGAGATAAGTAGCTCTAGATCTGGTTTGGTCCCTGGGATGGGTTTAGTGTCTTTCTGAGAAGATGCTCCACCAGACCCACTTCCTTTGCCCTGCCTCCTCTCACCCTACGAGAGGTCACTCTGAGGAGATGATTTCTCTGTGTCGTATGAGGACAGGTAGGTTTGTGTAAGTTGGGAAGAGCACCCTTCCCAGCACCCTATGTTGTCAGCACCTCAGCGTCCAGAAACTGGGAGAAATTCATTTCTATACAATTCTTGGGTATTTTGTGAAGACAGGTGAGGGGGAAATCTTGTGAATTCCAGACAAAGAACTTAAGTTTGGGAAGCTCATATCAGTATCTGTTTGGATGTTCTAAGTAAATCAGAAAGGAGAGGACCATTTGAAAAGGTTAGTATGAGCTTATAAAACAAGGAAAAATAGTGGTAGGTAGTTCGTCTGACTTCTTTGTTTGTTTAAATTCAGTATTTGGGCCACACCCGCCTGTGCTCAAGACTTATTCCGGGCTCAGGGATTACTCCTGGTAGTTTTCAGGGGACGGTATGGATGTGAGGGATCCTCCTGGGACAGCCGTGTGCAAGGCAAACCTCCTGCCTGCTGTGCTATCTCTCTTGCCCTGGATTTTATTTTTATGCGCTTTTAATTATTGCCAAATTGCAACTGACTAAGCACTTAAAAAAAAAAAAGGATATAAAAGCTGACTTTTTTTTTTTTAACGCACCGGGATTCTATAATCTGAAACAAGCAAGGCCAAAATAGAATATATACAGGAAGGGTGTGCTGAAAACAAACATGTTTCAAAGTAAATGTGTTGTTATACAGTTGTATGCGTGCTGGACCCTTAGCATAAAAACATTTAGGAAAAAAAACATGACTCAGAGACAACAAAGGATATCCTACACAAGCCAGCCACCCTTCTCCCCAGTGTTTGGAGTAGACAGAACTTTCCGTTGGTAAGGAAATGATGGTGATGTTGATGCTTTCACTTAGGCAGACGGAGAAAAGAAATTCTGCCTCACTCTTTTGGACAGAAAACATAAGTCCCAGGTAGAGGAACTTGCACATTTTCAGAGCTGAGGTTTTTTTAGCAGAGTGAAACAATTGAGTCCTTACGCCCAAACCTGCACCGCTGTTTGGGAGCTGGTTCTCTTTCTTGTGCTCAGGAGATAGTCTGTGAGTTCCTTTGGTTGTAGTGTTGTGGTGCATTACAAAGAAGTAATTGAACTTTGGAAACAAAAGGAGCCCTGTTATGTGGCCCTTCGATACTATTTGGGGGTACTGGACAGTGCTCACTTGCTTCTGGTCAGGAGGAAGAGGGGGAAGTAAGCTCGGGCCAAGAGTTGCCATTACAATTGTGGGTCTGTGGATGTGTAAAATCTTGGCAGTGGAGGGAGATTGTCCTTGAGAACAGGATCCTGGAAGAAACCTCTGTGGTTGTGGACTAATGCTGGGCCCAGAAGCACGTAGGCACAAAGCAGGACTTTCCTGTGGGATGGGAGGGAGAGTACCTGCCTTCGCCTCCAAACTTCTGAGTTGGGGACTATAACCATCAGAGGCAGAGGCGCAAAGTCCTGGCGAGAAGGAGGATAGGGGTTGGAGTATTCACTCGAGCCTCAGACAGCCTTCCTGTCCCACTGTGAATCCCCCCTTGGCCCAAGCTGAAAGCTGGGAGGCCTGTGCTGTGAAGTCATGCCTCCCGACGAGACGATTGGTTCTAAGATCCACGGGGAGAGAAAAATGGGCAGTAACAGTCCTGTAGCATGCAGGAGGAGCAAGGTGGTTCTGAAGTTCTGAAATTTGCTAGTTTGTCTAAAAGTTCTGTAAACGTATTTTTCTGCCTTTGCAGAAAAGCCTCAAGTATTTTCCTCGCAGAGAAAAGTGAGGCCCTGTTTCGAGCAGGATCAGGATCTGGATCCTCAGGTAGTCACTCCGCAGCGGGCATTGTCGCACTTGCCCACAGGGCCATGTGTAGACTGGAGAGGTGCAGCGACAGGTCCCCCTTTTATGCACCTGGTGAAGGAGCAGAAAATGTAACAGGAGGGCCCACTCCGTGCGGTTTGACTGTGCTGGCTTTCGAGTGGATCAGTAAAAAGAGACTTTATTGGCCAAGAGGAAAAATCTAATGTTTCATTTACAGATATCGAATGACTCTTATTGTCCACAGACACTTGCACACGTGTGGTTAGAATTGTTCTTTTTGATTCTGCTTCGAAGTGTGTAGTGGGGGTTAACTGGTTTATAAGGGGGCTTGAGAAATAGCACAGTGTAGTAGGGCGCAGGCGTACCTTGCATGTCATTGACCTGGGTTTGTTCCTCGACACTGCATTGGGTTCCCGGGTGTTCCTAGGAGTGATCCCTGAGCATAGAGTCAGGGATGAGCCCTGAGCATCCCAGTTATGGTCCTCCAAAACAAAAGCAAAACAAACAAACAAAAAAGCACCTCTGAAGGTAGGATGTGACCTTTAATGAACAAAGCAGTATTTTCAAGTATGGCAAGACTTTCTTACCACTTTTCTTGGCAAGGGAATTTAAAGTTGTCTTTAAAAAGCTGATTTTCTTTTTCTTTTCTGTTTTGGGTCACACCTATTGGTACTCAGGAG